CACTTGCTCAGGCTCAGGGCCCCACAAACTCCTAATCTGCCTCTGAGTGGAAGTTATACCACTTGCTCGAATATCAGGTGGTCCATGCCTTGATCCTCTAACCCTTACTCTTGTGAATAGCCTTGTAGACTCAAAGACCAGAAGATACCTTTATCTATTCTGACCTCCTGCATTACACAGATTGAGAACTACACCTAGTAATTTCTGCATCAAGCCTATATAGCACATCTTTTGGAAAGAGATCTCGTCCTGATTTAAAGGCTTTAAATGATGGAAAGTCCTCTGAATCCCTAGGGAAGTTGTTCCAATGGTTAATAACCTTCCCTGTAAATGTGTACTTAAATTATTTTCAGTCTGAATTTAACATCAGCTTCCAGCCACTGGATCATGTTCTGCCTCTGTTTGCTAGATTAAAGAAACCTTCACTAACAGAAATCTCTTCCCTGTGTATGAACTTGTAGATTGTGATCTAGTCACTTCTTAATTTTTTCATGGATAAACTAACTAGAGAGCTTTATAAGGCTCTCACTGTAAGGCATAAAGTATCAAAGGGGTAGCCATGTTATCTGATGAAGTGGGTATTCACCCACAAAAGCTTATGCTCCAATACTTCTGTTAGTCTATAAGGTGCCACAGGACTCTGTCATTATAAGGCATGTCTTCCCAAACTTCAGCATGCCTGCAGTACACCTTTCCAATGTTTCATTATCCTTTTTAAAGTGTGGGGACACCAGAACTGGATGTGGTATGCTAGTAATGGTTTTATACACTGGTAATACCACCTCCCTACTCCTACTTATATTATCTTGCTTATGCATCCAAGATTGTCTTTGTCTTTGCACTTTGAGGCCATGTCTACACTATAGCTGCTACAGCAGCACAGCTACAGCACTGCAGACTCTATTAATACTGTGCAGACACTTTCCACGTTGTCAGAAGATGTTTTTCTGTGAATGTAGTTAGTCTATCTATCCAAGAGGCAGTAAGTAGATTGACAGAATAATTCTTCTGTCAACTTAGCTGTGTCTACACCAGGGGTTAGGTCAACCCAATTACGGTTCACAGGGCACACAATTTTTCACAACCCTGAGCAATGTTCATAAATGATCTGGAGAAAGGGGTAAAAAGTGAGGTGGCAAAGTTTGCAGATGATACTAAACTGCTCAAGATAGTTAAGACCAAAGCAGACTGTGAAGAACTTCAAAAAGATCTCACAAAACTAAGTGGGCAACAAAATGGCAAATGAAATTTAATGTGGATAAATGTAAAGTAATGCGCATTTGAAAAAATAACCCCAACTATACATACAATATGATGGGGGGCTAATTTAGCTACAACAAATCAGGAAAAAGATCTTGGAGTCATCATGGATAGTTCTCTGAAGATGTCCACACAGTGCACAGAGGCGGTCAAAAAAGCAAACAGGATGTTAGGAATCATTAAAAAGGGGGTAGAGAATAAAACAGAGAATATATTATTGCTTTTATCTAAATCCATGGTATGCCCACATCTTGAATACTGTGTACAGATGTGGTCTCCTCATCTCAAAAATATACTGGCATTAGAAAAGGTTCAGAAAAGGGCAACTAAAATGATTAGGGGTTTGGAGAGGGTCCCATATGTGGAGAGATTAGAGGCTAGGACTTTTCAGCTTGGAAAAGAGGAGACTAAGGGGGGATATGATAGATGTATATAAAATTACGAATGATGTGGAGAAAGTTGATGAGGAAAAGTTATTTACTTATTCCCATAATACAAGAACTAGGAGTCACCAAATGAAATTAATAGGCAGCAGGTTTAAACCAAATAAAAGGAAGTTCTTCTTCACACAGCGCACAGTCAACTTGTGGAACTCCTTACCTGAGGAGGTTGTGAAGGCTAGGAGTACAACAGCATTTAAAAGAGACCTGGATAAATTCATGGAGGTTAAGTCCATTAATGGCTATTAGCCACGAAGAGTAAGGAATGGTGTCCCTAGAATCTGTTTGTAAGAGGGTGGAGATGGATGGCAGGAGAGAGATCACTTGATCATTACCTGTTAGGTTCACTCCCTCTGGGGCACCTGGCATTGGCCACTGTCGGTAGACAGGATACTGGGCTAGATGGACCTTTGGTCTGACCCAGTACGGCTGTTCTTATGTAGCTAGGTTGATCTAAATATAGTCCAGACCTTAGCAACAGTGTTGCACTATGAACCCATGTTCAGTTGATTTTCTACCATTACACCTATGTCTTCTGAGTGTCCCTGCATTCCAGGATGCTGCCTCCCATTTTGTAAGTGTGACCTATAGTCTTTGTTCCTCTTAGACGTATGACTTTGCATTTGGTTATATTAAAATGCATATTGTTCAAATGAGCCCATCTTATCAAACTGATCCAAGTCATTCTGCATTATTGACCTGACATCATTGTTTGCCACTCTACCAGTTTGTGTCATTTACAAATTTTACCAGCAATGACTTTCTATTTTCTTCCTGAGAATGATAAAGATATTGAATATCATTGAGCCAACAACAGATCCCTGCAGGACCTCACTAGAAATAGCAACACAGGAGGATGATTACTTATTGACAATTAGTTTTTGAGATTTATCAGTTAACCAGTTTTTAATTAATTCTATATGGTGTCATCATTCCAGATCTCCCCTGCACGCCTTCTTGCAGGCAGGTGTTGTGTTGTGGGAGAGTCCTTACTTGATTTTTTTGTCTCACCCAGGGTATCAACAAGTCATAGAACCATAGAAAATTAGAGTTGGAAGAGACCTCAGGAGGTCATCTAGTCCAACCCTCTGCTCAAAGCAGGACCAACCCCAACTAAATCATTCCAATTCCAGACAGTCTGTTAGATGCTAACAAGCACCCCTTTTTGCAAGGCTTAATTTATTAACAGAAAAGTCAAAATTTTCAGCCCAACATCTTAGCGGGGTGACCAGGTTGTTGTGGAGTCCATTTGTCCTCTACCTGAGACCAGTGCTCACTCTATCCACGCTTTTGCCTAGGAGTTCTCTTGGTTCTGGACTTTGCTCCTGGTTTTTGGCCTCTTGCCTTTACCAGAGTAAGATCCTTCTCTGCAGTCGTGGACCGAGAGATCTGTCCACTGTGACTCTTCTCCAGGGACAGTCCGTGATCCTTGTCAGGCTGGACTTCTGGCCAGTCTCTGGGAGGCCCTTGGCTGAGATTTCACTCTCTGAGAATTCCCTCTCTAGGAGTAGCAAAGAGTCCTGTGGCACCTTATAGACTAACAGACATATTGGAGCATGAGCTTTCGTGGGTGAATATCCACTTTGTCGGTTGCATCCACCCACGAAAGCTCATGCCCCAATACGTCTGTTAGTCTGGATCTGTAAAAGCAGCAAAGAGTCCTGTGGCACCTTATAGACTAACACGGCTACCCCTCTGATCCTCTCTAGGAGTGCTTCTTACCAGCTCCCCATTCTGCTGGGTTCCCAGAGAGCTCCCATTCTAGGATCCGCTGCTTAGGTGTCTCAAGAGAGGTTGAGTTTCCTGTCGCTTTTGGGAGCTCCCCTCTAACTGAGCTTGGGTAACTTTTGTTAGGACCAGATGACTGGTTACTAATGAGACACCTGGGCAATTAGAGGCTATGCTGACCTTTTTTTTAATGATGATTTTTTTTAACAGATTATCATGTGGGACTAAGCCAAATGCCGTACACAAGTCTAAGTCAAGACAGTTACCTTCGTCAACCAAACTTGTAAACTATCAAAAACGATGACGCTTTTGTCTGACAAAACCTATTTTCCATAAACTCATGTTGATTAGCATTAATTATACTATCCTCTTTTAATTCTTCACCGATTATATTCCATATCGGTTGTCCTAGGACTTCCTGGTATCGATGTCCTGCTGACAAGCCTAATTACTCTGATCATTCCCCCTTACCCTTTTTAAATATTGGCACAACTTTAGCTTTTTGTTCATTCCTCTGGAATTTCCTGAGAGATCTAAGATTTGTTAAAAATCATTAATTGTTCAGAGAGCAATTTTTGGCCAATTTGTTTAATACTCTTGGGTGCATGTTAGTTGACCCTGCCAACTCTAAAGCATTTATCCTTGTTAGTTCCTGTTTAACATCCTACCTAGTTACTGATGAAATACTTTCTATTTCATTATCCTATAAGATATGTATATCCATCCTGCTTCTTTCCAAATACACAATAGAAATATTTATTGAATACTTCTGCTCTTTTCTACATCGATTCATGATTGAAAATTTTGCCATCCTTATCTAGTATCAGACCTATACTAAAGTTAGTTTTTATTTCTTCCTGATATATTTAAATAATTCCTTCTTATTGTTCATAACCCTACTTGACAGAGATTTTTAGCTATAATTTTAGATTATAAGATACCTTTAGCTTTCCTTATTAGTGGCCTGCATGTCATAACTAACACTTCGTACTCATTAATATCAGTTTCCCTATTTCTTCATTTTTTTTTTTTTAAATTACTTCTTTCATATTCCGCTTCACCAGGTTGTTTTTTTTTAACTGAAGTAGGCTTCTTACAGGATGGCAGAATTATGTTTCTTTGGGCAACTAATAAGGCATTCTTAAATAATTCCTAATTATCTTTCATATTTTTGTTTAATTTTTTTCTCCCAATTAATTGTGCCCATAATTGTGTTCAGCTTTGTGAAATTGGCCCCTTTAAAGCACCAAGTGCATGTATTACTCATTTAGATTAAATTTTACTGTTTGGGACTACATTCTGTTTACACATAACAAATGAAATTAGGTCATGATCACTTGCATGTGGGCCACAATCAAATTTTAGACCAGTGATCAATTCATCTTTTATCTATCAGAATGAGGTCTAAAATAATGACCACAATGTAGTTGCAGACCTTTTTAAGCTAGAACATTGTCTATAATTTTTAGAAGCTCCAAGCATTTTTTATTAGTGGTAGAACGAGATCTCTAGCCTAAATCCCCTGACTGAAATTCCTCGTGATAACACACATTTTCTTTCTACACATTACAGACAGACATTTCAGGAGCTGTGCAGCCTGTTCCCTCATCTGATATGGGGTCTGTAACAGCCCCCACTACCACCCCATCTTGTGGTCTGTCAGTGAGAACTTTGATCCATCAGCATCCACGGTCTTCTTCTAAATTGCCAATAACTCGAAAGCAGGTAATGGGTATTTTAGATATAGAGTGCACACAGACTTCCTTCCCTACTGCCCATTCTGTAGTTCTATTTTGTGCACCTAGTAACCCCACTGACTCAAGGCAGACTACCTGCATGAAGAAAGCTGGCAGAATGGGTACCAGATGGGAAGGTGCTGAGTGCACACAGCTCCCATTGATTCCAGTGAGGGGGTTAGTTGATCAGCACCTCTGAATCGTGGCCAATGAGCTGTTCATCGGTGTGTGAGCCTATGAGCTGCTGAGCATCCATGCTCATAGCTTCTGGAATTGAGGCGTTGAGTCTGATTTTTAGATTCTTTGAACACTGACAACTCCCATTCAGGTCACTGGAGGCTTGGCTGTGCCAGGGATTCAAGATGTATGAAACGTTTTGAATAACACTACAATACAGTGTTGTACAAAACTGCTGTACAGTGTCAGCGTTGGTTATTTTATTTACTTTAGTGGTGCATCAGTTAGAGCAAGATTGCAAAGAGATTCCTAACGAAGGATTTCAGAAATCTACATTTACAACAGAAGATTTACAACAATCCATTTTATTACAGTAACTATCAGCAATAATGAAATAAGCAAATGTAAATTGAAATGACTGTCAAATACAGAAACAGCAGTACAGCTGTGAAGCGTGCTGATCTGTATGCTTTATGTAAAAGCAACATATTCAGAGGATATGGGAATGTTCATTACATTAATCGTTAGGTTTGTTCTAAGATTTATATGCAATTGAAATTTTTATTTTTATGCTGCAAATGTATAAGCCTTTAATAAATCTTGAAATTTATCCTTAAATATAATGAAACTGAACTGTTAGTGGTAATTGTAACTCAGAGTGAAAGTTCCAACATGTCATTACTTTCAGTCTTCGTTATTGTAAGGCACTTTGAACGTTTCAGCAGTGATACATGCTGCTCCTTGACTTTACATAATTGTTATACTAGAACCATTTTTTAAACTTTTGAATTTTGAAACACGTTATGTTCTTTCAAGTCATTCTCACTAACAATTTTGTTTAGTGAATTTCAAACACAAATTGCATTTGAGTCAGTTTGTTGTTGCTTAAACCACTCTGGGATATAATGGATAGGGTACTGTATTTCAGCTGACTGCATCTCCTGCTTTTAATGAGTTCTCTGAGCTAAGTTTTGTTTATAGGAATGTTCATGGAAATTTAATTTTGAGCCTGTAGCTGAAATTTATTTAGTGACAAAGCAGAGTTCATTTGCTGTGGAGGAAATGTAGTCCTAGAAAACAGAGCTAGGCAGAGAACAGTAATTCCATTGTGCAGAGGATTTCAAGATCTCAAAATGTAGTTTCATTCTGATTTGGAATGAAAACTGAAAGTCTTGATTTTCTCCAGAAAATGAAATTCCCTTTCTCCACCTAGTTCTGCTGGGAATCCCAGCTGTGGGACAGTCTGTATGGGAAGCCCTGGGAGCCTGTGCTGCTGATGTCAGGAAACCAGGCATAGTCTAATGGAATGTTTTGATAAATCAGCTACTATTGCTGACCAGAACTTTTGTTAAAAATATTTTGACCAGCTCTAATTGAAAACCACCTTAGAATCCTCCTTCACTAAGCCCATAGGTGACAAAGTAGACAGCTGTGAAAAGGAGGAGAGACTAGCAGAGGAAAGAGGAAGGAAGAAATAACAGGAGATACCATACTGGATCAGATACCATACTGGATCAGACTTGGTGGGATAACTCACATGACTGGAGTACAGTCAT